ATAGCAAACCACCTGTGTTCATTGTTGATCTTCTGTGCAGTTCCACATTGGGATTGTGTATGCGGAGGCCTGCCGATCGGTAGGTATACAGCTTTAAGCTTCCAGAAAGCGAAAGCTTGACTCTGCCCACAGCGATGTGCTCCCACGCACCAGTGCCACTCACCCTCAGTTCCTCTTCTGCCGCCAACAAAGTAGGTCATGTTTGTGCTGCCTCCTCCTTTCTTACGGCTGGATCCGGAACTACAGTTTGCCTTCCTGATCCTCATGGCTCAGAAGGCTTTATTCAAAAAGGGTACCCGCTGTGGTGTGAAAATGACACAAACCAATTTGTGTCTGCTCTGCCTTGGAGAGGGCCATTGGACGTTATGCAAGGCTTGTTTAAAGTTTACCTCCAAGGCTTGCAGGGAGAGAGCATTTAAGCTAAAGGCTGCTCTCTGGGAAAAGGCTCTCAAAGCCTCCGATCCTCCCATGGAAGAAACCAAGGATAACCCTGCTGAACAATCGGGTTCATCCTGTTCAGCTCCACCCCTCAGCTCCACGACCCCGCCAGCCCGAGCTAGCTCAACTTCACCATCCCGTAAAAGGGATGTGTTCAAACCCCCAGCCAAAAAAGCAAAGAAGGGGAAGGACAAGACTAAGTAGACCAATGCTCTGAAGGCTCGTACCACAGAACTACATCCCTCCAAATTGGATCAGACTTGACCTCCAACTTCTCTGATATCGTTGTCCGAAGGTGTACTCACTCACGAGCTGTCACCTGGCCAGCTTGTAGCATCTGGAGACACTGAACAGTTTGCACCCTGGCCTCCTCGCCCTACTCGAGCATGATGGCCTACAGACCCATACCCGATGTCCTCACATTATCTGGCTGAACGGGACTGAGGCTACTATGGCCATTCTGGCCCAGCCAGCTTGGAATATGACCAGCCTTATCATCTGTCTTCAATGGCTGTATCAGTCCAACCTCTGTCCCCCAGAACTGACACATCAGTAAAGAGGGCTGCTGATTCTGACGCCTCAGAATCGAGCCCTGCCGAGCAAGTGGGTGATACCTCGGCTCCATCCCCAACCGAGGACTTCAAGATGTATGGTGAACAAACGTCTTGGATGGCACAATCCCTTGAGATTGAAATCTTGACCATTGGACACCAACCAAGAGACAAGATCCTGAGCAAACTGTATTCTGACTCACCTGGGACCATTGTCTTCCCTGTGTTAGAGGGCTTAGATGATATCACCCAACAAGTTTGGCAACATCTGACCACTATTCAGCCCAGTGCTAAACGTATGGAGCAACTTTATTGGGTCAATAAAGAACTCTTCAGTTACTTCTCCATGCATCCTCTACCATCCTCGCTAGTTGTTGAGGAGATGCAGCCTAAGGGCAGGCAGTCATTCCATGCTGCCCCTATGGATAAAAAGGGTTGTAAATTGGATGTGGTGAGCCAAAAGGTCTATGCTTCCATTTCGCTGGGCTTTAAAGTGGCTAACGGAGGTCATCATGGCTGGGTACCAGCTTTTCTTATGAGAGGATATGCTATCCTTTATTGAACTCCTACCCGGGGGGCGGGGATGACCCTTGGCCAATGTCCTGCATATGGAGGTCATGCATCTCTCAAAACAGCAGATTAACGCAGGTCAGCACTCCGCGGATGCAATGGCAGGAGCCATGGGCAACGTGATTGCCCTCTTTTGTCATGCTTGGCTACATTCTACAACTCTGTCCAATGATACAAAGCTTAAGGTAGAAGATTTACCTTTTGGTGGAGCCATGCTGTTCTCAGCCAAGACCAATGAGACATTAATCACTGTAAAAAAAGAACGAACAGACTGCCAGGTCCTTGAGGGGTCCTCAACAAAATTCTTCCTCTTACAAACAGTGTCCTTATGGCAGACATTACTCGCATCCTTATCAGAGGGATTACAGATATGCTCCTTCCTTGGGACCCCAGTGTCCTCAATGTAAGTCACAACATTCTCAACAGGGGTATCACAAGTGCAAGGGGTTAACCTGGTCCAGGCCTCTGGTGCAACTAGTGCCTATGGGGGGATCCCACCCCAACACACAAGGTGCAGTGACTGTATATGGTCACCTTTGGTGATAGATTGGCTCCCTTTATGGGAGCCTGGGCTAGGGTGACCTCTGATGCATGGGTCCTCAGCATCATTCAGTTTGGTTATAGGTTGGAGTCCCCCCCGTCCCCCCGGTTCTGCCCCAGTGGGTGAAACAGGTCCATCCCAAGCAGGCTTAAGCCAAGCCTTACACACCCTTCTAGAGAAAGGAGCTGTTGAGTTTGTTACGGGAGAACATTCCTCGTAAGGTTTCCTATCTAGGATATGTGTGGTCCAGAAAAAGGACCGGGATTTTTCACCCCATCCTGGAATTTTTAAGAGCCCCTAGTAAGTTTTTGAATGTTCAGAACTTTTGTATGGGTTCCATTGTAATTTTATTACAGTTACTAAAGTTGGGATTCTTGGTGTATAGTCCTAGATCTCAAGGATGTCTATTTTCGTATTTCTGTATTCCCTGAACATTGCAAGTACATTAACTTCTACTGTCTTCCAATATACCGTTCTCCCCTTTGGCCTTGCTACAGTGCCCAGGGTGTTTTCCAAGTGTATGGCCCCAGTGGTGGCAAATCTCCACCTTCAAGGCTGCAGCATTTTTCTCTATGTAGATGACTGGCTCCTGGTAGCTGACTCTAGAGAGGATGTTATCCGCCAAAGGGCCTTGGTCTTGAAGACGTGTTGGTCCCTTGGCCTCATAATAAACTGGGGAAAGTCCAAGTTAGAGCCCTTCTGGAAAGCACAGTTCATCAGAACTGTCTTGGACTCCACCCTAGGTAAGGGTTTTCTTCTCCCAGAATGGATTCACAATATTATGACCCTGGTTCAAGAGTTCCAACACAAACGTTTTCAGTCCGCCCATCAGATTCTGTGTTTGTTGGGATATATGGCAGTGGCTACTGCAGTCCTGCCACAAATGCATGCCTCCACATGGGGCCTTTACAACTGTGTTTTTAGGGGTTCCTCATTCGAGAACTCACTTGGTGGCCTCTCCCAGGTCATTTGTGTCGCAGTACCCCTTTTGGGTTTCCCCAGGTGGATATTACACTTATCACAGATGCGTCTTTCCACGGCTGGGGAGCTCACTGTGGGGAGTCCTCAGCCTCAGACACTTGGTCACTTGAAGAAAAAGAATATCACATAAACTGGTTAGAGTTGAGAAGTGCTAGAAACACCCTTATCTGCTTCCCAGATCGGTTGATCAATCTGTCCTGTCACAGACGTACAATACAGTATTCATGTTCTACGTCAACAAAGAGGGTGGCACGGGATCGCACAGCCTTTGCATAGAGGCCACTGCGGTCTGGAGTTTAATCCTGGATATGAAGAAGAAGAAGAAGAAGAGGAGATTGGATTTATACCCCGCCCTTCACTACCCAAAGGAGTCTCAGAGCGGTTTACAAACTCTTTTCCCTTCCCCTCCCCACAACAGACACCCTGGGAGGTGGGTGGGGCTGAGAGAGCTCTTGACAGAAAGTGCTCTTATTCAAGAATAGCTGTGCCAGAACTATGGCTTGCCCAAGGTCATCCAGCAGGTGCAAGTGGAGGAGTGGGGAATCAAACCCGGTTCTCCCAGATTAGAGTCCGCACACTTAACCACTACAGCACTACACCATCCATATTCCCGGTGTCCTGAACGTACAGGCAGACAGACTCAGAAGGATGAGAACCTCATCCCACAAATGCTCCCTGATCGTGGGTTACCTCCTTCCCATCTTCAAAACCTGGGAGGTGCCAGAACTCGATTTGTTCACCACCCAGCACAACTCCAATGAGAAAGTTTTATTCTCCAGCGGGCCGCGGGAAGGGATCCCTGGGTGATGCCTTCCAGATCTCCTGGACAAAGGGACTCCTCTGTGCTTTCCCACCTCTTCCCCTCATTGTCAGCATGCTAGAGAACACACTTTTCCCCGAGAAGTGTCTGAAGTCCGTCTGAACTCTCATAAGCCATCCACTAGGCACTCTTATGCTTTTAAGTGGAACCGTTTTCCCCTATGGTGTAGAGACAGGAGGTGTCCTTCCTCACAGAGCACCTCTCAGCGAGGTTTTTGATTACATAATAGCTTTAAAGAATGTGGGTTTAGGTCCCCCCCCCCTCAAAGGGCATCTTGCAGCCATTTCCTCCCTCCACAAAGGCTGGGAGGGTTCTTCCCTTTTCCCCTACTCTTTGGCACTTTGAAGGGCTGGCAAACTTGTACCTTCTGAGAGATCCTGTTATTCTCCAGTGGTCTCTCTCCTTAGTTCTAACTGATTTGATGTGGAAGCCCTTCAAGCCTTTCACCACATGTCCCTGAGCCCTCTTATCCATGAAGGTTTGCTTTTTGGTGGCCGTCACTTCAGCCAGACGAGTTAGTGAGTTAGCCACCCTTAGAGCAGAACCCCTCCCCTTTTAAAGTTTTCCACAGGACGGGTAAGTCCTTCGGCCTAGCCTGAATTTTCATCCTAAGGCTGTGCCAAAATTTCATTTGTCCCAAGACTTGTATTACCTGTTTTCTTCCCAAATCCCACTTCTGAAGCTGAGCAGGAGCTCCATTTGTTGGATTTTAGAAGGGCCTTTTTTATTTGAAGTGAACGGTTGAGCACCACAGGGAGGGCTCTCTGTTTATATGTTTTGCAGGTCTGAGGGTAGGGAAATAGGCTACTCCACAGACTCTCTCTTGGTGGCTGGTGTAGCCTATCAAGTATTGTTACTGTCTGATTCTGCTTCCCCTCTGGAGGTGTGGGCTCTCTCCACTAGAGCCGCGGCGTCCCTGACGGTGGTTTGGGGTGGTGCCCCCTTGGAGGAGATCTGCAGAACTGTGACATGGACTTCTTCTGATTCCTCCGTGCGACATTATTTTTTGGTTGTTGCAACCAGAAGGAAAGCGGAGTTTGGAAAGGCTGTTCTCCATTCTCTGTTTAAATAAGGTGAGCATGTTCCCGCCTCCTTGTAGAGCTTGTTAGAACCCCCGTGTGTGGGACTGCACAGAAGATTGACGATGAAAACAAGGCTGCTTACCTGTAACTGTTGTTCATCGAGTATCTTCTGTGCAGGCACACATAGCCTCCCTCCTGCCCCACTACATCCTCTCGGCGGCTTGGAGGAACTGAGGGTGAGCAGTGCTGGTGCACACGGGCATGTGGCTGTGGGCGGAGTCAAGCTTTTAGCTCTTGCACCCTTTGGAGGCTTAAAGCTGTATACCTACCAATCGGCAGGCCTGCGCATGTGGAGTCCCCACGTGTGCCTGCACGGAAGATACCCGATGAACAATAGTTACCGATAAGCAACCCTGTTCTTCTTACTTGTCTTGAAAGCCCCTTGGTGGGGTCACAATAAGTTGGTTGCAACTCAATGGCACTAAACATCCATTATCAAAGTGAGAACATTGACATTACAAATACTCAGTAATAGTAAACATAAACCACAGTAGCCATCAGAAGACAATATGAAACCAGCATGCAGAAACCATTCAGATAATTTTTTAAAAAAAAGTTGATGACAATACCATTTCTCACAGGCCCCTCTGTTTTTGTATATGCACGTGGGTTTTCATGTACAGGGTGGTGTACCTGGAGTCTCAAAACCAGAGCCTTGCACTTAGTGTAGAAACTCACTGAAAAACAGTGTGTGCTTCATGTCAGTGGCCCCAGACAGCCATTCTGTTGCATTCTGAGAAATCCCCTGGTCTGTCCCTAGCTTCATGTCATGGCCCTGTCTGTCCTGTGCTCTGTGGTGTGGTTTAGAAACAGATACATTGCTGAAGGCAAGATCTCTGGACTTGGTAGTGGAATGAGCTGCATCAGACTTGCCAAAGAACGGGCTTAATGTATGAATGGGCCCTGTGCCCATGACAGATCCCACTCCTGAACTGACATATTTTTCTGGGGTATGTGAATGAAAAGGAAAGTGCAAGGTCTTGCCAGTGGATTTATTGTTAGCTTTTGCAGACAAAAACAAAGCTTAGAAGAAAGCCCTGTTTTGGCATCACCTCAAGGGACCCCCCCCCCGCCCCCCTTGCAGGGCACCAGTTTAATTTGTCTGACATTCAATGGAAGAACGGCATGCTGCAATAATTAGTTTTATATGCCTGTTGAAAAACATCCAGATTTTTGTTTTATCTTCATTCCGTTCTGTGCCAAGCATTTGACTCTAGCAAGCGATAGGTAATGCCGAGTGGGCTTTTCTATGCATTAAATGAGGAGCAGCAGCGGAAGAGGTTGCTGCCCCAAAACCTCAGGTCCACTCCCCAGTGGAATCTGGGGATGTCAGAGAACGGCAACTGATTTCCAGGCTCTAGAGATCGGTTCCCCTGGAGAAAATGGCAGTCTATGGCGTCGTATCTCCTCTGGTGCTCCTCCTTCCCTAGGCTCTGCCCTCAATTCTCCAGTAATCTTCCAACATGGAACAGGCAACCCAAGCCCCCCTGCCCCCAGCCCTTGCACTTCTAGCTCTTGTCATGTAAACACGAGAGCATGTGCAAGGACAGTTAACACACTGTCAAAATGCAACGAACATTAGACCTTTCCGACATAAGTTCCCTCTCGATCTGAGAGCAAGAGACATGCTGCCTCTGGGTTGCTTCTCCCCCCCCCCCCCAAGCTGCTCTGCATTTTTAGGTTAAAGCAGGCATGCAGAAGTGGTATAGTCACCAAACTGAGAGGTATGTTGTGGCCTGCCACATGCTGGACACTCTCCAGTGACTGCTGTTCTAGGCTAGCACTAAACAAGAGGGGATGTCTCATAGTTATGGTGAGCTGCCATACGTGGCCATGCATGGTTAGGGGAGAGGCTGTGGCTCAACCGCTGCATGGCATGCAGAAGGTCCCAGGTTCAATCCCTGGCACCTGCAGTTAAAATGGAACAGACAGTAGGTGATGTGGAAGACCTCTGCCTGAGACCCTGGAGAGCTGCTGGCAGCCTGAGTAAACAATACTGACTGTGATGGACCAAGAATAAGGCAGCTTCAGGTGTGTTCATGATTTTCTGTATTATGCTTGGGGAGTCACAGTTCAATGCAAGTATGTACAGAAAAAAACCCCACAGTTTCCCATAAAATCTCAGAACAAAGTTTGAGTCCAGTGGTGCCTATAAGACTGACAAAGTTTTATTCTAGGTATAAGCAAAGTGTGCATGCACACAAAAGCGTATAGAATAGAAGAAGAGTTGGATTTATATCCTGCCCTTCACTTGGAGTCTCAGAGCGGCTTACAATCTCCTTCCCTCAGCTGCCCCTGGAATCGACCATAAAATCACATTTATTGTTAAAACTATAGCCCATAAAAATGAAGTTCTCTGAAAACAATGGCCCTGTCATCCATCCATCCATCCATCCATCCATCCATCCATCCATCCATCCATCCATCACATGTGCATCCTAACTTTGTTCCACAGTGGAACTTCCCAGAAGGTCTCTTGCTAGCCACTCCAGAACGTCTGGACCAAGGTGTGTGTTGATGAGTTGGAGTGGGATCACTGCAGAGGAAAAACTTAAGATGGCTGAAGGTGGACAGAAGCTTTAAGGAGGTCAGGCTTTAAGCCCCACCACTGGAAGACGCCACTGACCCTTCACGGTGCCACACCTAGTTCAAGTGGCGAGTCTTCTAGCAAGGCTGGAACGCTTCTTAGTCTTGTTTGGTTTGGGATGTCACCAGATGATCAAACACATGAGGCTGTCTTATACTGAATCAGCCCAGTCCTCCATCAAGGCCAGTCTTGTCTACTCAGATTGGCAGTGGCTCTCCAGGGTCTCAGGCAGGGGGTCTTTCACATCACCTCCTGTCTGCTCCTTTTAACTGGAAGTGCCGGGCATTGAACCTGGAGCCTTCTGTATGCCAGACAAGTGCTCTACCACTGAGCCACAGTCCCTCACCAGTTGAGGAGAGACCTCAGTTGACTCTAGGGTGGGGCTTTTAGAATATGAAGCTGGGGAGGAAGGCAGGGCTGCTTCCCAGGGTGAGAGAGCTGACCCAGTATTTTGTGGATCTTCCTGGACATCAGAAGGGGATCCCAGAGAGACCCCAGATGCTTTGTTCTGGGGTGGTTCCAGGATCACAGCTTCCTCCTCCTGAGTTTTCTGCTTCTTCACCCACTGAGGGAAACCAGTGCCCTGGTCCATGACCAGTCATTGCTTGATGGCAACGCTGATCTTACCCACACAATCTGGGCTCTAACTTAGATGGCCCGGGCTAGCTCAGTCTCATCCAGTTTAACTTAGCAGTGTTGTAGTAATTGAATGGGAGACCGCCAAGGAAGTCCAGGGTTGCTGTGCAGGGGCAGGCAAGGGCAAACCACCTCAGAATGTCTCTTGCGTTGGAAACCCCACCGGGTCGTTGTCATCACCCAGCTGCAACTTGAAGGCACTTTCCTCCTCCTCCTCCTCCTCCTCCTCAGTTGGAAACCCCACCGGGTCGTTGTCATCACCCAGCTGCAACTTGAAGGCACTTTCCTCCTCCTCCTCCTCCACCACCGCCACCGCCACCACCACCACCACCACCACCACCACCACCACCCAATTTAGAGCCAGCACTTTTTGCCCTGGTGGTATAATGTTGCTCACACATAAGAAAAAAACACATAAGAAACACGCCATCCTTGCAATTAAAGGCAACGGAGCAGTGTCATGGAGGGGAAACAAGGAGGTCATCTGGGCCGCAGCAAATTGCTTCCTGTTAACGTGTAGCCAGATGTTAGCTTAGCTTTGCCAATAACACAAGGAGCTGATTCCACATAAATTAAGGCCTCCCCGGACTAATTGAGCCGATGCGATCAAGGGTTATGAGGGATGGGGGGAGGGAGAGTGGTTTACGTTGAGAGGGTCAGGCTGGTGCACTCCAGGCTCGACTAGAATGTAGTTAATATTTATATTTCATTTTTATTTAAGGGTGGGGTGGGGAGAGCATGTTGCAATCCACATTAACCTCCCAAATACCAAAAACCTATTACAGTGAAAAATCAAATAACGCTATAGAAAATTCTGCAATGACAATTGCATCTATATGGGAAATAGGTTTGGGAATAATGCTTTTGGATTTTGGACTAATTTTTTTAAAAAAATATGCTGTTCTTTTTGATTTGCATTTTGGAATACCTCTTGAAACTATAAGGATTGTGTCCTGTTTAGTTATGATATGATGGTGTTTGACTGTGTCCTTAAGATCCGGGATCTGGAATACTGCTGCGTGGTATCAAATTGGTTTGCTCTCTGGAAGCAAATTGAGAATCTGTTCGGTCTGGGATTTGTTTGTTTGTTTATTTACGTGGTTCATGCAGAAATTGGTTGTGAGGCCATAAATCACCCAGATGGGTTATGAGCCCAGGGTTTGTAAATGCAGAGAGATGTGCTCTATATTTAAAAACAAAAACAAAACGACCCATTCCAGGGCTCTTAAAAACCTGTTCAAATAACCTGTTATTTGGTGACCCACTGGATGTAGCTGTGTCAGTAACACGTGTGAAAATGAAGGGAATTTAGTTCTAACAAAGACCAGATGATGGTATCTTTCCAAGAAAGAATTCTGTTCTTATTTTGTACATGGAGACAGTAAAGCAGACAGTGAAATAGAAAATCCAGCAAACATAGGCTTTCCTGACAAAACTCTGATGTCACCAGCCAAGAAATGTAATGTACTTGTACATGCCAATGAATTAATTCTTGGGCTGGGATGATTAAAATGTACATCTGAGTCCCAGAGCCCAAAAAAGTGATTCCTCCTTGTGGTGTTTTGCGTTGGGGATTTGTCAACTGCACAAGGAAGAAGCTGTTGTGCAAACTGCAACAGAGAGAGAGTGTGTGTGAGTTTGTGCTGGTCCACAGGCTCTCTGCTAAGCGCCAAGGACAGAAAATTGGTTGGGAAGTTTGCAAACAATGGCTATAGTGTGTCTTTCATATTGGCAGAGGCTATTGGGATTACAACACATGTCCATTGTGTTTTCTTCTTTCACAGGAAGCAGGCCAAAACATATTACCTTTCAAAAACCCATCTCTTCGTTTTATGTAGATCAGACAGATTCATGGATAGGTCTGTCATGGTTTCATGGGTTTGCTAGTCATGGTGACTGAGGGGAACCTCCACGTTCAGAGGCAGTCAGCCTCTGAATCCCAGTTTGTCAGGAGGCAACATCAAGGGAAGGCCTCGGCCTCTCTGCCCTGTTGTTGGCCCTCCAGAGGGAATGGTTGGCCACTGTGTGAGATGGGATGCTGGGCCAGATGGACCGCTGGTCTGATCCAGCAGGGCTCTTCTGATGTTCTTACGAGGGTTTAATCCAGCAAGAAGGTCTCCTGCTCGTACCTCATGCTGAATTGTAGCCTGGTTTTTAAAAATTTCTCATCTTTGAACACCTTTCACCATTTTTATTTGTTTTGCTGTGGTTGACCCTGCTAGTACTTGGAGTTGTATTCCTACCCGGTTCCTCTTAGTAATGAGTGTTCCTAGTGGATAGCTATGACATCTGTAGGGATGGTGCACATATAAGATGAATGAATGGAATATTCAAAAGGGGAGAAAAGGCATTATGGACAGTCAACGGTGACTGTGATCCATAAAGGGTCAGTATTTTAGGCATTTGGCATGTCGGGTTTCTTGCTGTGGGATGGCTTCGGTCTGTAATCGATTAGTTGGGACAATTAATCAACAGAAGCTTTAATTGCATATTTAATAACTGTCTTCCATGGGGTTCCAGGACTCAAGATCGCGGGAGGATTTACCATGTTGCAGGCCACATATAAAATCCACATTCTTCCATTGCAGTTCCAACTAAAAATGTAACTTAAACATTGTGTTCCCTTCCAGGTTGTGCCAGTGCTAGCAAACCCTTTGCCATCGAAGGGGAAAAAACAGTGGTTCTCCTGCTAAAAAGAACTTTGGGGAAATAGGGTTGCCAGCCTCCAAGTGGGGCCTGATGTCCTGAATACAGAAATCAGTTCCCCTGGAGAAAAAGCTGCTTTAGAGGGTAGACTGTATGGCATTACGCCATGCTGTGGTCCCTCCTCTCCACCCTCTTCTCCCCCCCTCCCCAGGCTCCACCCCCAAATCTCCAGGAATTTCCCAACCCAGAGCTGGCAACCCTGTGAGAACTGGAACAGACCATTTCATGCTAAAGTGACTGCTGGTGACTAGGATGGGTCAGTTTTTCATTACAGAGGTTCTTACTTTACTTTATTTTGTCTTTCCTTTCAGAAAAGCTCTACAACTCCAGTGGAAGGGAGCTGAGGCGGGCCCTCTTCTCCTTGAAACAAATATTTCAAGTAAGTGAGTGCTCTTAATGTGGTTGGTTTCCGTTTGTCTTCGAAGTGCCGCCTCTGATTTGAGCAAAATATTTGAGGTGCTGTTTCAGTAAAGGTTCTGATCCACCATGAATTTGTTTCCCTCAGATATTTATTTCTCATCTCTCCTGCCCTCGGGAGAATTTTATCCAACGTGCTTAAAACAGTTGAAGGGACAGAATAATGGAACCTTAGTCAAGGGAGCTTTCTGTACTGCCTGAACATAAGAGAGAAAAGCTTTTTGGTGTCTTTTTGTGTTGTTCCCTGCCCCCCCTCCGGGGGGGTCTTCTGCTGGTGGCCGTTGCCCCGTCCCCATGCCCACCACTGGAGGAAGGAGGCCTGAGGTCTCAGAAGGAACAGGGAGCTGGATTAGTGACACCCGATCTGCTCCACTGTCCTTCTGGTGCCCCCCCCTCTCGCCTTCCGTTTTATGCCCCTCCCAGCTCCCTAGCCCTTCCCCCCATTGGCTGTCCTCTCTCCCTTTGGGCTTGGTCCCGCCTCCGTATATGAGCCCCGACGCTCAAGTCGGGCTCTCAGGTGTGGCTGTGCCGGCATTCTCTACCCTGGCTGGCTCAATGGACTTCTCCTCCCCACAGCCGTGTGTCCGTTCTTGCCATTGCCTTGGTGAAGGTGTGGAGAGAAAGGCCGCGTCACTGCCCTCTTCTTGGCTGGGGGCCTGGTTTAGCCTGTCCCCGGGACACCCCGTCATCTCTGGCTCCTGCCCTGGTGACCAATATGTGCCTCTGCGGCTCTTGTGGACCCGGGGTCTCGATCTCCGTGGCCCGCCTCTCACGTCAGCTCTGGGGTTGGCGCGATTCTGTGTTCTGTCTCTGGCTGTCCCACTGGTCACCTCTCGGACTCCAGGGCTGTTGCTATCTTTGTCTGCTAGGCTGCTCTGTTCGAGGTAGGGGACTGACTGGGGTAGACCTTGGAGGCTGGATAGGGGATGACGGGGAAGCAAGGGGGGTCTTGGTTGAGTTCCAGCTGTGCCTGGCTGGAACAACTTAATATAGTGTTTGAGAAAGAAATGCCATCTTGTTATAATTCATTGAATCTCAAAGGTAATGTCAGCAAGACATAGAAGCAATGGTGGTGTCTTTGAAGAGCATGGGGAATGGTTTCCGTGTGTGTAGTGTAGCCAGGAGATCCTATGATTGTCTGGCAGCCAGAAATTCTCTTTAGCATTATTCGGGGTGCCACAAGGAGGCCTGTTGGCTACGCACATTGTGCCAGATCTCTCCCCTGCATCGCCGAAGGCAAGATACTCTTCTTCATGAATATAGAAAGATCATTGAAAAGAGAGACATGTCTGACATGGGGTTATCCAGATTAAGGTCCCAACATCCCACAATAAGATCTGCACAAATCCTGCAATCTCAAAATTTCAATCTAAGGAATGAATAGTCTCATACATGTATGCAGTCAGGGATTGTCCAATCTGTCTGTATACCTGTTGTATCAATTTGGGTTATGTATTTTATATGATTATATGCTTCCTGTGTATAATTCTGCCATACGACAAATAAATAATGATGGAAATGGATGGCATATTTGTGTTTTAGACTATATATTTTTTTTATTCTTTTAAAACACTTATAATTACAATTTACCTCCTCAGACTCAAGGCATCTGACAACTCAAGTTACAAGGACACAAAGCCTATAATCCATGCAGTTATTCCTTAAAATCACCTTTTATCTTTGGCCAGCATAACAGTTCAACATATTGGGTGACTAGTCCCCTGAATGTGATGCCACATGCATGCAAATGTAGAGGTGAGTGCACACTGGCACTTCCTCTTCCTGTGTGCTGTCACCAGCTTGTGGGCACAACCTATATGTATAGACTCTCTCTTTGTGATCGTGAACACTGCATTTTCAAACGTTCCATATAATGAGGGATCCTATGTGCACACGCTTCTAAACCCATTTCCAGGCTGCGGTGGCACGAAGCCACTGCAGTGGCAGCAGAGCTTGAAAGGGTTCCCTGGGTGCCAGGATGTCTGGCCCACAGACCGGACCAAACAGATTGCCTTAAAAAAACATGGTCCGTTGGCAGTCCATCAAAATCACAAATGCACGGACTGGGTAAACAGATCACAGACCAGGCCCCAGTCCGTCACAAAATTAGGTCTGTGCCCATTCCTACTCAAAAGCTAAGCTGGGCCAACCCTGCTCATCACTTGGATGGGAGACCACCAGAGAAGTCCAGGATTGCTGCTCAGAGGCAGACAATGGCAAACTGTGTGTGTGTGTGTGTGTGTGTGTGTGTGTGTCTTGCCTTGAAAATGCTATGGGGTTGCCATGAGTTGGCTGTCTCTTGGACTTTCCATCACCGCCAATGCCATGTGTACAAGGTACAGATGTAAAATTTCCAGAAATCTTTTTTATTAAATCCCCCTGAGGGGAGTTTTTTATTGGTTTTTTCACAAACTACAGACTATAACTGAAGATATAGGGAAGGGAAACTACATCTAAGGCGAAAGAAAAAAGACCCACTAATAACTAAAAACCCAAGAGTAGGAGATCAATACATCATCTTATCTCAATGTTATTCTAGAATGCTAATAATACAATGAACATAGTGGGTAATGCTAGATGAATTATCTTTTAGCCACCATTTAACTGTTTAAAGAAAACCCCAGAGCATCCCAAAGTTATTTTCAAAATTTTCAGGCACAAATCAGAGTCCTTCAGCCATTATTTGTTCTTATATTTTCTTATCCTCAATTTATATGGACTTTTGGGGGCAGCAGCCCCCTTGTCAGACAGAGTCCTCGTTAGAAGACACAGAGCCTAACTCGCCATCAGATTTGCTTTCTTCTTCTTCCTTCTTGTCCTCAGCTGGTTCCCCCAGCTGTGTTCGCAGAAAATCACATGCTTTAAGAACAGAGTCAATCTTTTCTTTTTTGTCGTGGAGTTTGAAAATGACTCCTTCTGGAATTAGCCATCTGTAAAAAGTAAAGATTCCCTTGCTCGAAAGCCAGTCGAATCCGACTCTAGGGTTGCGGTGCTCATCTCCGTTTCAAAGCCGAAGAGCCAGCGCTGTCCGAAGACATTTCCATGGTCATGTGGCCGGCATGACTAAACACCAAGGCGCACATTATTTTTCTTGATGTATGAGGAATAGGACCTGTAGACCACATCCATCTCGCTGTAAAGATATTCTGCTGTCAAATCTGTCATTGGGGCTATTGCTTCACTCAGCTGTTGCTTCAGATTCTCTCCTTTAATTTCCGGGACCCCTTGGAATCGTAGGACCAAGTTTGCTTTCTCCATTACCAGCTGTAGAAGTTGTGACTCTTCCATAGCTTGTTTCATTTCCAGCTTTTGCACCTTTTTCTTAACTTTTTTAGTATTGGCGTCCATTTCCTTCACCTTCTCCGTCATTTGCTCCGTTGCTTTTAAAGGTTGAGTCAATTGTAACTGCTGTGAAGCCAAGCTCTGTCCAATTGTTGATAATTGTTGCTTGATATTAATCATCTCATCCAGCAGAGGGTGCAAGGAATCTGCCAGCATTTTGGGAAGCTCAGTGGTCTCTTCCGTTCGAGGACTGCCCACTAGTTTCACTTTCAACAGTTTGTCCTTATCCGGTTTCTTCCCCGCCATCTTTTTGGATTTATTTACTTTTCTAAAAGTTGCTAAAGTTTCTGATATTCGTCCAAACGCTTTTCTGTGCTCTGGTAAGTCTCTTAAAACAGATTTATATGCTTATTGTTCCGCTCCCCCCTCTTTATTTCTATGTTTCGTCTCTGCGTTTGGGAGGGGCCCCTCACCCGCTCGCTTTCCGTCATTTATTTAGGGGGGCAGCTTTATTTTTAATTCTTCATGCTCGCTTCAACCCGACTCACAGTTTGTTACCGGCCACCTGGCCCCACTCGGCATCAGTTTTTTCGCCCGATCTCCAACGCTGGACCCGGTCAGCGACGCTACGTCCATGCAGAACTCAGCGGCAGGACCTTTGGGGCGGAGGAGCGCCTCAATTCTCAGGCATCGTGCCAGCGAAGAGGTCACCCCTCAAAAGCACCCTGGCTAGGAGCCTTTTGCCAAGGCTCGGGGGGGTTCACGACCTGTCGGACCCCCTCCTGCACGCTGGTGTGCAGATTGCATCCCCGGAACGTCTGGAAGATGCGTCTGCCTGTGTGTCACCATAAACTGGAAGTCAACATTTCCAGAAATCTAGAAGCTTTTTTTCTTTAGAGAGAGAGAGAGAGAGAGAGAGAGAGAGAGAGAGAGATATGAAACTAAAAGTTTAGGAAACGTGTATGTGGGGCTTACTTTCTTGTCTTACCACACTCATTGATGCTTGTTCTCTATGTGCCTTGATTTCAGTTCTCTATGTGCCTTGATTTCAACATGAGTAATGTCATGTATACCTGTATACATGGTACAGATGTAAAATTTCCAGAAATCTTGAAGGTTTTTCTTTTCTTTTCTTTTTTTGAGAGAGATGAAACTAAAAGTTTAGGAAACGTGCATGTGGGGCTTACTTTCTTGTCTTACCACACTCATTGATGCTTCTCCTCTGTGCACCGTGATTTCAACATGAGTAATGTCATGCACACTTGTATACATGGTACAGATGTAAAATTTCCAGAAATCTTGAAGCTTTTTCTTTTTTTTGAGAGAGAGAGAGAGAGAGAGAGAGAGAGAGAGAGAGAGAGAGAGAGATATAAATAGAAAGTGTGTGAGTGTGTGTAGTTGAAACTAAAAGTTTAGGAAACGTGTATGTAGGGCTTACTCTCTTGTCTTACCACACTCATTGATGCTTGTCCTCTATGCGCCGTGATTTCCACATGAGTAATGTAATGTACACCTGTATACATGGTACAGATGTAAAATTTCCAGAAATCTTGAAGCTTTTTCCCCCTCCATTTTTTTTCAGAGAAAATACTATTTAGTAAAAATTGAAATATATGCAGTGCTTACTTTTATATCAAACCTTAACTTATTTTGCTGTTTTAACAACATAAAATGCATCCT